GCGGGAGGTGGGGGCAGCGGGGCGCCTGGAATGCTGGGCCCTGGTGGAGGTGGCATGAGGAACAGAATGGACGGGGCGAGTGGGGCGAATGGGCTGATGGGTCCTGGGCCTGGAGCGGGGCTGGGTGGAGGGGAACTGGGCGGTGGATCACCACCAGTGGGGGGATATTCTGGGGCTGGAGGGTTGATGGGGGGATATGGGGTGGGAGGGATGGGGATGGGGCTGGGGTCGGCGCAGCACTCAAAGTACTCGTCGCTGGATGAGGTGGAAGGGCAGATGGCTGTCATTGCCAAGGACCAGCATGGATGCAGGTGGGTTTCAAGTCTAGTCTAGTCTGGTGTAACGGGATTAGGTTTCTGCTGTGGAAGTTTGGCAAGGGAAATCAAAAGCAGACGGCACACGTATTAAAGGAAAGAGGTCTCGTTTGGTGGATGTATTCAAATTATAGTACTCCCTCTTGCCCTCGCCCACAGGTTTCTGCAGCGCAAGTTTGACGCGGGCAGTGCAGAGGAGGTGGCGCGCATATTCAAGGAGATCAATCCTCACATGTTGGAGCTCATGACAGACCCCCCTCTTGCTCTTCCCTCCCCTCCTACTACTATTACTACTACCCCTCGCCCACAGGTTTCTGCAGCGCAAGTTTGATGAAGGTACTTCAGAGGAGGTGGCGCGCATATTCAAGGAGATCAAGCCGCACATGGTGGAGCTCATGACAGACCCGTTTGGCAACTACCTGGTGCAGAAGGCTCTGGAGGTGTGCAGTGAGGTGCAGAGGGAGGAGATCCTGGCCATGGCCACGGAGAACCAGACAGACCTCGTCAGCATCTCGCTCAACATGCACGGGTGAGTGCGGTGGTTGGTGTGATGGGGTGGTCTTTAAGATATCTCACCTGTAGAGGGAGGAGATCCCTTGTCATGGCCACAGAGAACCAGACGTACATTGTCAGCATCTCACTCGACATGCACGCGTGAGTGCGGTGGTTGGGTCGATGGTGGTGAAAAAGGGTTGATGTAAAACAGCATGTGGCCGCTGCAAGGTTTCGGGTTGATAGGGACTCTGATGACCAACTGTCCCCTCCTGTTTCCCCTTTCCGTTGCTCATCCCAACAGCACGCGATCGGTGCAGAAGCTGATAGAGACGGTGACGGCCCCCCAGGCGGTGCACCGGGTTTAGCGTCTCAGAAGTTAGAGATGGTGATGAACCCCTTTCACCCGCTTCCCCTTTTCTGTCCCATCCCATCAGCACGCGGTCGGTGCAGAAGCTGATTGAGACGGTGACGAACCCCCAGGCGGTGCAGCGGCTGACAGCCAGTCTGGCGGGCGGCGTGGTGACGCTGATCAAGGACCTCAACGGCAACCATGTCGTGCAGCGCTGCCTGCAGCGCCTGTCCGCTCAGCAGAACGAGGTAATTGAGGTGGGGGTGTGAGGTAAAAGAGTGCAACAGTTGCGGTGTGGTGACACTCATCAAGGACCTCAACAGCAACCACGTCGTGCAGCGCTGCCTGCAGCGCCTGTCTGCACAGCAGAACGAGGTGAACGGGGAACGGGAGCAGCAAGCAAGGTGGGAACACTAGGAGAGAGGTGTAACAATCTGGTTAGGGAGTGGTGACACTCATTAAGGACCTCAACGACAGCCACGTGGTGTCTATTTTCGACATAGCCGTCTTTTACTGCATATGAGACATTTGCAGTCCCTAAAGTACCCCCTCCCCCACCCCCCCACACCCCCTTTCGGCCCACGATCCCGGCGTCCCTTTTCAGTTCATTTTCAACGCTGCGGTGTCGCACTGTGTGGAGATCGCGTCGCACCGCCACGGCTGCTGTGTGCTGCAGCGCTGCATTGACTTCGCACAGGGCCAGCAGAAGAACCGCATCCTCGCTGAGGTCGCCTCAAACGCCCTCGTGCTCTCCCAAGACCCCTTCGGGTGAGTTCCTCATCTTTGCAAGTATCTATTGAGTGATGTTTTCCCTTCTAACAAGTACATATCCTACCATGTTATATTTCTGCAAATCGTTACAACCGCCATGCTGATCCCCTTGTAAGGCCCTCTCCAATGGCTGAGTACCGCCAGGGTTTCGTTACCAGAGGCTGTGGATATGCGCATGCACGTCGCAGCTCCCCCTCTTCCCATATCACTGCCTTGCCCTCTTCCTCCCCTCTCCTCCCCTCCTCAGCAACTTTGTGATGCTGTGGCCCGACCCTGGGCCTCCTCCTTTGGGTTGGAGTTTTAAGACATCTCAAAACTGCCCATATTTCCCCTTCCCTCTCCCCATACTCCCCTTCAGCAACTACGTGGTGCAGTATGTGCTGGACCTGGGGCTGCCGTGGGCGATGGAGGAGGTGGTGGTGCGGCTGCAGGGGCAGTACGCGCCATTGGCGCAGCAGAAGTTCAGCAGCAACGTCGTGGAGAAGTGCCTCAAGCTCGCCCCAGACAACTGCCGCCACCTCATCATCCAGGAGCTCGTCGTCTCGCCCCTCTTGGGGCAATTGCTGCAGGACCCTTTCGCGAACTACGTGGTTCAATCCGCTCTGACGGTGGCTAAGGTGAGGCTGGCTATGGGCTTGCAGGGAGGGAGGATCAGGTGCGAGGGAGGGGGTGTCAGAGGGGAGTGCCTGAAGCTCGCCCCTGACAGCTGCTGCCACCTCATCATACAGGAGCTCGTTGTCTCTTCCCTCCTGGGCCAGCTCCTGCAGGACCTCTTTGCCAACTATGTCGTTCAGACTGCACTCATCGTGGCTAAGGTGAGGCTGGCCCCCTGGGGCTTACAGGAGGGAGGGTCGGGTGGGAGGGAAGGGGTGTAAGAGAAGTGCCACAAGCTCGCCCCCGACAACTGCTGCCACCTCATCGTTCAGGAACTCGTTGTCTCACCTCTTCTCGGCCGATTGCTGCAGGACCCATTTGCCAACTATGTGATTCAGCCTGCACTCACCGTGGACACGGCGAGAAACGGAGGGCAGAGGGGACGAGGGGATGGGTGATGGCGGGGAAAGAGATGGTCCACTGGCAGGCCATAATCCAGGAAACTCATGCCTCTCCTCTGCTGAGTTCCTCCCTCTGCCAACAATCGCCCTCTCCTCCCTGGCCCCTCGCAATCCACCCTCTCCTCCCTGTGCTCTGCCCACCCTCATCTTTCCGTCCTACTCTCCCTCTAACCCCTCCTTCACCCCCTCCCTCTTTCTTCCAGGGGCCGCCGCTGTACACTGCTCTTGTGGAGCCCTTCGCCCACACCTGCCGTCCCTTATGCACCCACTCAACCCGACATACTTTCTCTCCCTCTAACCCGTCCCACCCTCGCCCTCCCGCTCACTCCCCCAGGGCCCACTGTACACAGCCCTGGTGGAGGCCATTCGCCCGCACCTGCCGTCCCTCCGCAGCAGCCCCTACGGCAAGCGCATCCTCGCCCGCACCAACCTCCGCCCCAAGTAGCCCTCCCCTTCCCAACTACCTGCCAGAGTAGCTCTGCCCTGCCCAAGTAGCCGTCCCCTGCCCAAGTAGCCCTGCCTTACCCAAGTACCTCCGCCCCACCCCCCTCTCCAGTCTAGTAGCCCTGCCCAACCCTTCTCAGGTTCTCTATGCAAGTAGCCCTCTCTATGCAGCCCTGCTTTCTCTTTCCTCGCTTGCTGCACTTACTGCCACAAAGACTCACCCTCTTTCACTCTTCCTTTCTCGCACCTACCTTTGCAACAGCTGTCCCATACCCCAGGTAGCTCTGCTCGAGTAGCCCTTTCCTTGTAGCCCACGTTTTGCCCCCTTGCCCAGCTGAACTCACCACTAGAAGACTTTCACTCTCACACCCTCCCTCTCTCACACCAACCTCGACAGCAACTGTCCCATACCCCAGGTAGCCCTGCTTCGCCTTTGAAAATTCTCATGAGCACCCTGCTTCACCTGTATCTCTGTCGTCCTGCGACCACCTTGCATCCAGCAAACACCCCCATCCGGTCACCCATGCGCTTCACCCATCACAGCTGCGTCAGCTGAAAGCTCTTAAGTCTCAAGAGCCCTCAGAGACCCTCAGGGGCATGCATCTGCTACCAGGCATAAGCGTGGTGTAAGCACACAGTGCGCATTGCAATGCCCCGCTCCCTTGCAAGTGACGACTCGTACTGCTGTGCCTTCTCATCCCGCGCACCGGCCATGCCTATTTATCTTGAGTTGGTTGCCCTATGCATTCGAGCGCGGTGGTTGCTTGCCTGTTGTCAGACCATACCCATTCCATACCCCATCCAGTTGTCCCTGTCTCCTCCACCATTCCTTTGCCTACCTCTCCACTCTTTGTTCCACTGCACATTGTAACAGCTCCCTCCCGCTGACTTTCTGTCTCACTGCTGTAGTCCTCCACTCCCATGCTCCGGTCTACAGCATCCCTTGGACTTTTTCTTCTGCCGCAATTTATTTTCATGGCAAAACTACTCTTAGTGTGCTTCCAGTGGCGATTTGTGTCTGCTATTGCTGGTCAGCGGATTGTATTCTGAGGCCTGTTTGTTGTAGTGCTATGTTGTTGTGCATTTGCAACGTGTTGTGACTTCTGTCTCATACCAAAATTATCTGAAACTGGAAATACCTATGTCAATAGCTGAGCAGGAAAGCATGCAATAGCATTTCGTATTAAGGTGGTTTGTGCTTGAGATATACAAACAAGCAACTATACGCTTACTAAACCTACATATTAGTGAGAACTAAGGCTTGTGAGCAAAGAAGCAGCCACGCTGCGGAAAGCAGCGCGGAAAAATAGCAGAAAGCGCCCGAGGCGGGAAGATCTGGACGGTCGGAACGAAGCCTGGGGAAGCAAGCTTGCGCAAACTCCCCGTCTTCTGCCTCCTGCGCTTCAAAACTGCAGATCAATGGCTTTTCCTCCTCTCTCCCCTGATTCGAAAAATGGTTAGCACTCAGTAGGTCCTAATCGTTTGCTTCTAAATCAGAGCGTGCAGTCAGGAGAATCCCCGACTGATGAGAGAGGGTGAAGCCATCAATTATTGCTCGGAGCGGAGTCTCCATCATGCCTCAAATCCTTCCAGAGGGTTCCAATTCATCATTTTCATTAGCTGTAACTCCGCCGCCTGTAGCACGCTAACCTCCACCAATGTGACGGCAGACATCGCGACGCCATTGGGAACATCCTTCTGCCGGCCGCCGTCCAGCTTCGCCGCCGTCCACAGGCACGCCGCGAGCAACACGCGCAGCGCGTTGCTGTCGACGGATCCGAGCGGCAGGTCCCGAAGCGCGCGATGAAGCACGTGCAGCGCGAGGTCGACCACGCGCCGCCCGCGCAGCGCCAGCTTGGCGCACCACGAGGACAGGATGCGGCGCAGGCGGTCCACGGCCTGATGGCGCAAGTTGCTGCGCGGAGAGAGGTGGAAGTAACCATCCGTCTGCTCCGCGGCTCCTGCGGCTGATGTCACCTCTGACGCTACCGGCGCTGACGATTTCACTGCTCGCCTTGCGGCTGCCGCTGCTCGCACAGCTGCTGGTGCAGGTGGTGTCGACTCCACCGAGACCAGAGGCGGGGGTGGGATGACGGAAGCCGATTGGGTAAACGGCGGAACCAGAGACGGCAGCGACGACCACTGTTTCCGTCCGTCTGCTACAGCGGGGGCATCGTTACTACACGCAGACTTCCTTTTGCCCAGAAGGGTTACGTTGGTGGTAATAATGCTTGCGTCCGCGAAAGAATTGGTCAGGAAAACCCCGAAACCCCTTTTCGAGGAGCCAGCAGGCACAGCTGCCTCCACCGGAGTAAGGGCTTCGGGCAAACGGAGGGCAAGCTCTGGCAATGCCGGCACCACCGTTGCTTCCGCCGTCCCCGCTACAGCTGCGCCCGCGACGTCCGCGAGGAGTCGCAGCGAGCTTCGCGTGTCAGCCGCGTCAAATTCCGCCACCGCCGCCTGCGCCTGCGGCTGACTCGAGAAGCCACCGCAGGTATTCGAAGACGATCTTTCCCCCCTGCATTGTGAGGGTGCGCTCTCCGCGGTTTCGGGGAAGAGTTGGAGTGTCGGCGGAGTTGGCGGACGCGGGGGAGCAGCTCCAGTGAGGGAGCTGCAGGAGGCGGAGTTTGGGAGCGGAACTTGGTCCGCCGCGGAGAGGTCGTCGTTGGACCGCGAAAGCGCATTCATCAGCGGAAAAGCCGCTTCAATCTGGCTTCTGGTTACCGCTGTCAGGCTTCGCGGACCGCCAGTGAAACAAGATGGAACGGTAAGCAGCGTCGACTGCTTCTCCTGCTTCTGCTTCGGCTGCTGTTGCTGTACCGAGTATGGGAGGAAAAGGAGACTATTGAGTCCGCTTGAGCCCGCAAGTCCCGGGGGTAGCAATGCGGCGGACTCGTCGAAGTTCTGGCGCTTGGGGAGCGTCTCGTCAGGGGGAAGCGGAAGACATGCTCCGCACACTGCACGGGGCGGAAAAGTGTGGTTCGCGCCAGCCGCCGGGGGCGGCCAGTGGCAGTTGGTCGGCGCGGCGCAGCGCGCGCAGAGGACGAAGCGCGCGTGGCGGCGGAAGATGCAGTTGGCGGAATGCACGGCCGCGTCGCAGTCGACGCAGAGGTCCGCGCGGTCGGCGTGGCAGCGCACCGCGGCGGGACGCGCGCATAGGGCGCACGTCGCGCGCACGTGTAAGGGGACTGGGGCGTAGGTGGTTTCCACGCAATCTAAAGCGGAACCCATGGCAGAACCGACGGGAGAACCAACGGGAGAGCCCACAGGAGAGCCCACGGGAGAGCTGACAGCGGAACCGGCGGGAGGCTCGGACGTGCCGGCGCAGGGATCTGGACGAGGAAAGACCTCTCGTGTGACGGTGACAGGAGCTGCTGCACGTGTCAGGGGGTAGTAGTGTCGCCGGCAGAAAGGCATCGGGTCGAAGCAAGTTTGGAGGTAACGGAGACTGTTCATGATGCTAAAAAACGATAAGCGTTGCCACTATTGCTACCGGTAGTCGAAATAGTTCTTAGGCGCGGCTTGTGCTTTAGTGGAAACCGGCGGGACGTTCGGTCGGTCGACGGTTTGTCACAACGGTGGAGGAGAAAGGAAGAAGCTGTTTACTGTGAGCTGTCTGGTGACTCACTAGGATGCTATCTTCTGGGAAGTGTCTCAGGGGGACAACGGTGTGTTGGAATGGAAGTGACGCTGGTTCACTGATTACTGGAAGGTTGATTTCTGAAAGAAGCTTCTGTTCTGTGCCGTGTTGGCTTGCTGAGTCGACTATGTAGCATGTGAAAAGTGCAGCTGACGGGTTCTAGCTAGGGGAACGGCGGGTTCTCGTAACAAGGCCGACTGGACCAAGGAGGCTGCTCGAGAGAGCACAGCCGGAGTAAGGCACACGTAAGATGAACATGGGCTCTTTTACGGTTACAGATACTGTGTACAGTAGGATATGGTGGTTTGGGGCCGAGTGATTCACGGACAGGGACGCCTTTCGTTTCACCGCACAGTCAGTCGGCGGACCTCCTTTTGGTCAGGACTCGGGGCCCAGTGGGCGGGCAGTCAGTGAGTCAGTGACTCCCCTTGGGTCCCTCCCACCCAAGGTCTTTGTCAGCCGCGCTCTGGCTGGTCTCAAAATCTGACTTGGGAGGGACCCAAGGAGGGACCCAGTGACCCAAGTCACCCAGTTCAGTGCGCATGTGCGCTGCGTGCGAGCTTCTGTGCGCTGGCGCTGTGCGATCTGCTGGCTGGCGTGCTGGGTGACTCACCCAGCAGCAATCGGCGTTTCTACTCTATTGTGAGCTCTCGTTTCACGCTTTCGTCTGTTTTCGTTATGACAGCAAGCGTTATTGCTTGGGGGTTTCCATCGCTGACGCCATGCTCGGAGGGATCTAGTGCTTTTTCGGGGTACAGTACAAATGTGCTGTCAGTCAGGGGGAAATGCTGGAGGGGAGCATCATTCGAGCGCGTGGGGGGAGGGGGAAGATGTGATTCTGTGAAAAATGCTGTCGTAGGAGCGCAAGGACGGCCGTAGGCGGGACGAATAGGAGATAAGGAATGCATCACAATCACTGCTCATTCGCACCATGGTTCCATAGGTGCTACTTGAGAAAGCAAGCACGGGGGGAGGCATCACACTGTACTGAACAGTGGAAATGAAAATCGTTTTTTGGCTGAGAGAAATGTGGTCATGGTTCGCCGCAAGTGGCGGGATTGTAGAGTGTGGGTCGTGCGAGAAATGGGTCGTGGGATATGAAGTGCTTGTTCTTATCCCACGCTAGGCGCCACTTGCGGGGGGGAGCAATTCGAGCTTGTTTGATGGTGCAGTGCTGGAATGGACCCATAGGAAGTCTAGCAGCACCAGCGTATCCACCAACCAGCACTTAGCAGAACTGTTTCCACAGGTGGAACCACGACGGAATGGTGAGCGAAGAGAAGTTCGTGCGTGACCCTAATGTCAACGAGAAGGCAGCCTCTGAGTCACGATTCGTGTACTGTACCCACTCCTACGCAGTTGGAATTCCACGTGAAGCTGCCTTGGTTACAGAATGATGAGGTAAAATGTGACGTGCTGGAGGGGCCTGATTTTTACGCTTCCAAATATTTCTTGCAAACCATTTCCAAGAGTCAGGGAATGTAGAGGCTGACTTGTGGTCAGGAAGAACTCGCCACAAATTTAGGTGTCTTGACCGAATGTTCCCATGACATAGGGGAGAAAACCAGTAGAATGCGGCCACGCCCGCGTGGAGCAATTTTTCTGCTGCACCTGAAGTCGTTTCTTGATATGAAACGCTGTCAGTCCGGAAAAGTCGCACGGTTGCATGTATGTGTCTCCACTAGCATGCCACCGCATTCATTATCACGTGACCCTCACATGGTTTCTTGCCGGAAAGCTGGAAACCTGTCCAGATTCAGCAGCATCATTCTCTACCCTCCAAACCAGCAATATTTTCCAGGAATGGTGGGATATCCGATGCAGTGGTGGACACAACCGATTTCTTTACCTAACTTCTCAGTTATTTTCGTCTTGGCAGACCGTGACTCCATGCAACTGATGGAACAACTGTCCATTCCTGAGCATTTGATGGAAAGGGCACTCAGTTTCGCACTTACGACTCATGGGCATTTTCATCTCAACAAACTGAAGCCTCTAGGATACCGCCAAAAACATATAACTACCCCAGTGGTTTTGTATTTTCAGTTTCAGACTATATGCGCACCACGTGGACAAGATTCCTGCCCAACACTTAGGGAGTAGAAGCGAGCCGGCTGGATTTATGATTGGTGTAATTCGTTATTCCCCATGGCTCTTGGAAAAGCGTTTGTACTTGTTGACCGACCACAGCGGATGCCCATTACAGTTCTACGAGGTCACACCACATATGGGGCGTGATAGATCTGCTTTGTTGAAGCGCTCGTCAACTTCGCCAACGGGCAAAAGGGCTTGTAATAAACAACAAGCCCTTTTTGTTGTAATCCACGCTGAGGCATCTGCGGCTGTTTTGTTCCCCACATGGACAGTTTGGCGAAGTGCATTATCTTTGCAAATGGCTCGGCAGGTTTGTAAACCGCAACAGCCCAGTGCAAATCGATCTTCTGAAGAGAATTAGGATTGGACATAGCAAACGCGTCTGGGACAGTAAAGCATCATGTGTGTATTGTGAGGAAATGAGGAATGAAGGAGAGGGGGGTTGCACTAGCAGCAGTTGGCATACATATAGGAAACCCTAATTGGGTTGTACTCGCTATAGAATACCCCACTACAGGCTAGACAATTATAACATTCTGACACACCCCCATAGCCAAAGTGGGGTGTAATCAGCACAATGAGCAAGCAGGCATAGAGCAAGTTTACAAGGACAAGCAAAGCTAGAGGCATTCACAAAGGGCAAGTGAGGAGGAGGAGGCGAGACTGTAAGAAGAGAGGAGATAGGAGGCGACGGCTGAAGATGCAGACACACGGGCAACAGGAGTCACCGCTCGCACAGCGGCTACCGGAACAGCGCCCCGGACTACTGGAGTAACAAGCTCCGCGACTAAGTCGAGCGGCAGGAGCAACGGACCCTCGGGCGACTGCTGCAGCTGGCTACGATTGGGCTACCAGAGCAGCGCCCCGGACTACTGGTGCTACTGACGACACGACGACAGCCTCCGTTCAACCTCCCCCAACTGTCCCACTCCCTTTTCACACACTCCTTGCTGCACCCCTAGCTCCACTCCCACGTCACCCCCCTTTTCACACACCCCCCGCTGCACCCTAGGTTCACTCACACCCCACCCCCTAGCACCACTCCGTCGACTCCCACACACCCACCCCCCTCAGCGGCAGCTGCAGCAGTGGGAGACAGAGGAGGAGGAGGAGCAGGGGAGACCACACATCCGCCACCCCCTACTCGCCACCCCCAAACCCTAACATAGGGCAGGGCCGGGCGACGGGTAGGGAGGTTACGGGAGGGGGGGGGGGGGGGGCGACGCGCGGCCTCCCAGGGCGCCAAAACAGGCGGTAGAAGGGGCGACGCTCGCCCCCCACCCCCCCAGGGCCCCCTCAGGTCGCCTCGACAGGCGACGGGAAAAGAAGGGGGGGCGGTGCACGTGCCCCCGGTGCGCTGCAACAGGCGACGGAGCATGGCCGGGGCGGGGCCGGGGCAGCAACTAGGGCAGACGCAACAGTGGACACAAAGGAAGGGTCAGTGACGACAGTAGCAAGGAGACGCGTGACAGTAGGACTTGCAGCACGAAGAGAGTCCGACTCCGGGTCGGCAAGAGCAGGAAGCGAGGACTCAGGAGGAGAAGGCAAAGGGGCACGCAGAGGAGCAGTGGACGGACGTAGAGCATCCGGTGCGTGCCAAGGACAAGAGGAGGACGCTGACGCGAACCACGACCACTAGTGCGACCAGGACGGACAGTCGACGCAGGGCGAGATGCAGGCTCACGACGCTCAGCATGACCTCTAGTAGGACTAGTGTAGGGAGAAGGAGCAGGCAGTGGGGAGGTCGGCTGTAACTGTAACTGTGACGAGACAGGCTGTGGACACTCTAAGGGAGGAGGAGGACCAGTAGAAGGCCGAAGACCAAGAACCTGCTGAAGGAGAGGAACAAAGTACAGCCGAGGCCGCGCGACGACTCTAGACACAGCAGGGACAACACCAGTACCCCCAGCGGCAGCACCAGCGCCAGCAGCACCTCCAGCTCCAGTACCTCCAGCAGCACCAGTAGCACCCCCAGTAGGACCGCCTCCAGGACCGACAGCAGTAGCCTAGGCGCCAACACCCTCAGCAGCTCCAGCTCCAGACGTACCCGCAGGTCCAGCAGCTCCAGTACTCCCAGTACGAGCACCTCCGGGACCCGCGGCACCAGCACCCTTAGCAGCCGAAGAACCTCCAGCTCCAGCAACACGCCTCCAGCGCCGGGCTAACCACTCGCGCAGCTCCTGTGGAGAGAGTGGCTCCCGCCGAGACGAAGCACCCGGAGAACCTCCAGGCCCAGCACCGCCAAACGCCACACGAGCAGGCCCAGCTCCCTCAGGCTCCACACCCCTAGGCTCAGCACCTCCAAGCGTAGCACCCCCAGGCTCAGCACCCCCAGGCTCAGTACCCTCAGTGGGAGCACCCCCAGGCTCAGCACCCCCAAGCTCAGCACCCCCAGTAGTAGCACCCTCAGGCTCAACACCCCCAGACATAGCACCCACACGCTGATCACCCCCAGAGTCAGCACCCCCAGGCTCAGCACCCTCACCAACACCAGAGTCACCAGGTACCTTGACAGGCTCGACTGCGTCTACCTGGGACACACCTGAAGAGGCAGGACCCTGAGGGGGGAGGGGGTCTACCGGGGGGGGACCTGGCACAAGGAAGAGCGGTGGCGGGGGGAGGGACGGAGTGCGGTAGGGGAAGAGGTGGTAGTAGGGGACCGACTTGCAAAGGTGACGTCCTG